AACCTCTTCAGAAACATCCAGAATAGTGTTTGGCCAAATATCTGGGTATCATGCCCAATCAAATTGATGCATAAAATTAACAAACACAGGCTCCCAGTTATTCTAAACTGATCTGCTAGGCTAAACTCAGCCTTTAGGAATTGGTGAAGATTGTAGCTGAGTTTTTCTTATCCACTTCTATGGCCATCACCTTTTCTCCAGTGGTCTGCCAAACATGAAGCAGTCTCTATGTCCTTCCTCTCCACAGTAGAACTTGTCACTTCTTGAAATTTGGTTATTTGGCTACCTTGTGATCTCAGCTCTCTGAAGTATTTAAGAAAACATGACTTTGTAGATTATTCTTTTTTTTTTTATTATTGTTAAGATATGAGTGATGTCCTTTGCTGCTTCCTCCATCCTAAATAGAAGCAGGACTTCCACCAGTGTTTGTTTGTTTTTACCTTGGGTATGATCTTAATTATTTAAAAACCAGGAAGGACAGGAATTATATTATAGAGTCAAGCACAGGGGTTGCAAATTAGTGGCCTGTAGATTTCACATGAGAATCTAGGTTTCTAGATTGTTTTGAGAAATGGGACCATATGACACACTTGAGCCACTTTTACTGGACCTTTAAGGGGCACAAGCTCTCCAGATGACCATTGTGCCCAGAGTGACACAGTTAACTCCCAACACCGACTTCTCCTCTATCACCTTGGGGCAGACCATTCTGAGACCCATGTTGGCTGCTCAGAGTCCACTTGGAACTGATTCCATGGCAAAGCATTATTCTATGCAAATTCCAAAAGCAAAACATGACATATGACAACTAAATGTCCTAACCTAGTGGTAAAGAAGGTCTTGGATCTCCCTGGGAGGAAACGCTATAGTGTCAGATATAGTGTAAGAGACTCATGTGGCTCTCAGAAGTGAATGCAAAACTGTACATGTGGGAATGCCAATCCCATCAGGTAAGCAACCAGCATGCCAATTTTTTTGTTTCACCAGTGAGCAGTGTAGCCTAAGAAATTCTGGGAGGTAGGTATTACTCCCCTGGAAGAGGCTGCATGGATGCTGGAGGTCTTTGGGCCCAGATAAAGCACTTCAACTCTGTCCTAAGCTGGAGAAGGACAAGGGTCAGCTCTCCAATCAGCAGTTAATGTGCTCCTTCCTGGGCACATTCCACCACCAGGTAGAACAGCATCAAATTGTTACCAGAACTGTAGAGACCTCATCCTGGGGGCGGCGAGGTGGGGTGGCTATGGATCGGTGGGTTTACTTCCTCAGGGGCAGTTTCATTTCTAGGGGCTCAGGGAAGGAACCCAGGACTGAACTGGACTGGACGGAATTACTTCCTTAACATCTGGAAGTGCACATCATTTAGGGAATGAAGGTAAATGAAGCCAAGGAAGGGAGCCAAGGCCCAGATCCCAGAAACATTGTCATGAGACAGGTCTGAGGGGAGGATGCTGGGCTCTGAGCAGGAAACTGGGCTGAGAGCTGGAGATAGAGAGCTAATTGGCATGAGACTGGAGGAGAGGATGGATTTGACATAAAGGGGTCCAGAAGGTTTTAGCTCAGAGAGGGCCAGTCTGCTTGATACCCAAATACCCATCTAGTTGTTGGGGAGAGGAGGCTAGGTGGAGGGGACTGACCAAGCACAGGAGTACCTAAGACACTAAGACACTAAACCAGCAACACTTACCTACCTGGGGCTCACATCGACTCTGTAGAGACCAAAAGCTTTTTGGAACATATACAGGGTTAAAAAGAAGACATCCAACAAATGAAAGTTCACAAGAGCACTTCTAACTTCATGAAAAATAAGTTAATCAGTGAAAGTAGGAACTTTTAAAGAAAAGAATCAGAACTTCTTCTCTTACAAACAAAGCTTGAACCTCTTAGCAATCATGACTCTGATTGCAAGGATCTTACTCAAGTGCCTAGAGAGTCTTTTACTGCCAAGAACGGGAGAGTTGTAGCTCTTCAGAGAGCAGAATTACGTAGAATTCAGTTCAGCTCTAAATTGGCCCAGACAAAGACCAGAGACAATTTTCAGCCCGAAGTCAGAATCAAGTTTTTTGCTCCTTACAGAGAGAATGGTTTTTATTAAGATATAAAATTAATTCACAGTCCCTGAAGCAGATTTGCAAAATCCACAAAGTTTAAAGAATAAAATAAATAACTGTATTCCATAATCTAGAGATGGTTTACATTTTAAATATTTTTTGGTCAGATTTTTTTGTGTATGTGAATACCTATGTTTTTCTCCACACAAATCAGGAGTCTATTAACTAAAAAATTGTTTCCAGCTCTTTCCATTTACTCTATCAGGAACAGTTAGTTCTCGATTGCCTTCATTATTCCCTGAAACAAATTTTTTAATGGTTCCATAATATTACTGATTATGGATATGCCATTATTTATTTTAATCATTTTTAAACTAATGATCAATTAGGTTGTTTCAGTTTTTCATCATTTAAAATAAGATTCCAGTAAACATCTGTGGGGGTAGTGTTTGTGCAACTCCCTGATTATTTCCTCAGGAAGAATTCTCAGCATATTAAAATTAGAGGGCTTTTTTGATACCTACTCTTGAATTACTTTTCACTTCTTTGTATTCACACTCACAATGTATGAGCATGCTTGTCTCACAAATCATTAGCCAACACTTAGCATTTATCATTAAAAAAAGAAAACAAAACCTTTTCTATTTGTTAGTCAAAAAATGGGATCTAATTGTTTTATTTTTTATCTTTCCCTACTAGTTGTATATTTCTTCACAGTATATCAAATGCTTTTCTTCTATGAATTATTATGTTGTGTGATTTACCTACTTTTCATATTGTGGATAAGCATCTTGCTTTAATTTTGAAGCAGTTTTGCTATAGCAGGACCCAAAAGAAATCCTAAAGAGAAACTCATGATGTTAAAAACTTTTGATTTATAGCTTTAAGCTTTCCAAAAATTCCACTGAGGCAAAATGGAAGGAAATATTAATAGGAGGCTCTTCTAGTCTCTCAAGGTGTGGCCCTTGGACCCTGTGCATCAGACTCAGGGGTGGGAGTGGAGAAAGACACATTGAAATCACAGATTCCTACATTTCTACCCCAGACACAAAGAGTCCGCATCTCTGACAACTGGACCTGAGAAGCCACATTTCTGTAATATCTCTGATTGCTTTATATGCAGCCCAAATTTGACAACCACAATGACTGCTGAGGCAAAGAAACCTGATATTCCCATTCCCTCTGGAACAAAGGGGAGCCAACCATACAGAGAAGTGAGTCCAAACACTGATAAATGGAAGTTGAGCTTCCAACTTGGACGAGCTACTGGGTCTTGTACTTTCTGTTCTTTTGATTTCTTGACATCCATTGTACTTTAACTTGATTAATGCATTATCACTATTATCTATTCAGTCTCCGAGGCATAAAAATGATAACCATCCTTGATTCCTCCCTATCTCTGCACTCCTTACCTCTTCTCACGTTTTTAAATCTCTTTTCCTCTTTCTCACAACCCCTTAGTTTAGTCCCTTATTATCTCCCTCTCTGCTTTCCTATCTCCTGTTTATTCTACCCATAATCTCTATCACCACACCACCCCCACTCTGCACCAGGTTAGCATCTTTCTAAGTTATAATGTGTCCAGAAGCCTCTGTTTGCTATGCAAAAGCTTCTAAATATCCTCCCACCTCCAATTTTCTGCAGTCTCTAAACTCTTCTTTATTTTAGCGGAGGGGAGGAAAACTGGTATTTGCAAAGAGTGGAAGGATTGGAGATAACAAGGAAGTCAAAACTCAGGAGGCATGAACGTGCAAGAAGACAGCTGTGGCCAGTTTAAGATCCTGGAGATCAAGCAGCTCTGAGAAACAAAACGACTATAAAGATTTGACCGGAAGGGTGGGTTGCTGAGGAGTCTGAAAGGACAAGGGCATGTCACGCGATGTTGTTGAATGGGTTATCTGCCCAGACCCTGCAACAACTCAGATGTATGCTATTATTCACAAGCAGAGAGCTAGCGAGTATGAACAGTTCAGGGTAACCTTTCTTCATTCCTGGAAAAACAACTTAAAGCAAAGGACAAAGGGTTACTGTGTTTGTTCCCCCCATGTAAAAGGAAATAATAATTTTGATGGATTTGGTGGGACATTTTGGAGCCAAGTCAAACTGTGTGTGTGATTGTTTTGTAAAGGTGCTAGGACTTAATTTTCAGATCTGGAATAAGAACAGGTGGTGGCTGATGGCAGGAGTCACAATGGTTTCCATGACAACGGGACTGGGTCTTAGTCATCCTCCCATCCTCCACAAAACCTTCTGCAGCTTTTCTCATAAGGTGCTTATTAAATATTTGTTAAATGAATGAAGAATCACAGAATGATGTGTGTGCTTTGCAATTAAGGCTGCCGTTCTGTTGCTAGTTAAAAGCTTTTAAAGCAACAATAATGCCTGTATTTCCACATGATATTTTGCACAATTTGCATATTAACTTAACCTGAAAATAAACTAGATTCTCATCCCTGCTGAACAACCATTTCCCATAACTATCCTCTATTGTGGAAGAAGTATCCAGATGTTTGGCTACAAGAGCCTTAAAGGGGGGTGGCCCTGCGCGGTGTTTGTGCTTCCACCTTAGCTAGAAACACTTGCTTTTTCCACGCTTTCGAGCCCCTCCCCCCTCGAGCTCTCCGCAGCCGCCCACGCGCTGTCTGCAGCTTCCCCTCCCCCCGCGTCCCTCATCCCGCGCGGAGGCTGGAGTCTGCAGGCCCAGCCGAGAGCACAAAGAGCCTCGCCAGGCGGCGTCCCGCGTTGCCCTTGGCAACCATTGAGCAGCGTCTCACTCTCCCTTGACCCTGCAAAGAGAGAGTAAACAGGGCATCCATTGGCTGGCAGGGGAAAGTAGGCCAATCGGAGAAGAGGTTGTAGGGAGGCGGCTGAGCGGGGGTTGTGGGGGTAGGAAGCTAGGGTTAGAGGCTACCGGTGAGGCTAGAACCCCGAGCGTGGTCGGTTGGAGCAAATATGTCTGTCCGGAGGCACATTGGGAATCCTGAGGTGAGGGCCAGGTCCGGATCGGAGAATCGGAGGGGGTGGGCGCGCCGGAAAAGGCTCCACGTGGGCGGGGAAGAGTAGCCAGCGACTTCCGCCGTCCGGAAGGCGGGAAGCGGCTGCGTGAGGAGGGGTGAGGAGGGGTCTGGAGGGGGAGGGAGGCGGGGGATGAAATGCCTGACCCTTATCCTGCGGCCACAGGCCACCATCCCGCACAGGCTCATTGTGTTTGTCGCCAAAAGGAGCGAAGTGCATTAAGACTCAAGTCCCTTCCCTCAGAGGGCTTACAGTCTGAGAACGGCAGCTAAAAAAATAAGTAACATCAGGATGAAGCCTGAAACACTAAAGGAAGCAAATCAAAGGAGCCATCATTTCTGATTATGGGGATACAGAAAGAGCAGGAATAAGCAGACTAAGCCAATTGGAAAGGACGCAAAATATGACATAAATTTTACCCCCTCCTCGATTAAGACCTTTTACTTACTTGGCAGTTTCACACCCAGTTGCCCTCTGCATATGGGGTCATTTCACCGCAACAAATGTTTACTGGATTCCTACTGTGCAGGGGGGTGCTAGAAATACAAAGAGAATCAGACAAGGCCTGTTTGTCCTTCATTAAGTTAAGTCTTGTGAGGAAGACTCATAAACAATTTGAGTTCAATGTGGTTGGAGAATAAGATGTTAGGAGAGTAGAGAAGAAAGCTAGGGCTCACCTGAGAGAATGAGAGAAGGGGCCTGGAGATGATCTGGTCTCAGATTACTAGGCAGATGAAGAAACATCCCAGGTAGAGAGGACAGCCGGAGCTAGAGAAGACAGCTGGAGCCAAGTTAAGGAGATGTGAAACACGCAGGTAGACAGCGCCTCATAGAGAGGCAGGAGTCAAGTCCGGAAGGGCCTTCTGTGCCTTGCAAGTGTAATAAACAGGAGTTGAAGCTTGTTTCATCTCATGATGGATGCCTATGAGCTTTGTTGAGAAAGTTGTAAGGGTGAGTTTAGGCTCTGCAGGGGAGTGCCATGATCCATTATAATGTCTACCATGGATGTAGGGGAGGTAGGTGTGAAGAGTAACACTTTGACCAACGCCTGCTGACTGCTGCTCAGAATTTGAAAAGCTTTGTGGTTTTAAGCAGCCCAGTGCCATGAACAGTTGTGCATTTTAGGTGGTGGTTGTAACCACATTGAAGAGAAGTGATTTGAGGAGGCTAGGACTGGGGCTAGGGAGATTGGGGTTAGGTGATGGTTATGATACAGACCTCAAGTAAGGCTGTGGAACTAGGGTTAGAGAGAAATACTTAGGGGATAAAATAATCATGACTTAATGATTAACTCTGAGAAATGAGAGTGTGATGGATGACTTTGAGCTTGGGCTACTCATTGGTGCTGATGTCATTAATGAGATTAGAAATATGGGAGAAAGAGGAGGAATAGTCTTAGGAGTGTAGGGGTAGAGGAGCGGGGATGTCCTCTATGGTTGCATCTTTGTGCCCCGAATAAAGATGTTCAGCTTACTCTTTTGTTTTCATGGAGCGCAACTGCCAGTTGTTTTCTTAAGAAAGATTGCATAAGAAATAAATATTTTAAATTTGTGTCTACAACATTAGGCATATCTAAAAATTTTATTTTACCTTCCTATTTATTTGCCTGAAAGCTTATTTCGGTATGGAATTCTTGGTTAGAAATCATCAGTCTTTTGGAAACGTTGCAAGGTGGTCTCATAGCCTTCACTTTTTGTTGTGGAGATGTTAAACCATCCCTTTGTATGCCACTTGAGTGTTCCTTCCTGGAAGCTTATAGAATCTTCTCTTTGTCACCAGCATTACGATGTTTTACAAAGATATTTCTTGATAGATGTTGTTCTCACTTTTTTGGGGGAGAGGCACCAGAAACTCATCTTTCTATTCTGTAAACATTTAAAAAAATTGTTGTTGACTCTCGTCCTCCATTTTCTCCATCCTCTCTTTCTTGAATTCATTATTCTGATGTTGCTTCTCTATGACTGGTTCCCTAATTTTCTTAAATTTTATCTCTTATTTTCCACATCTTTGTTTTTTTGTGCTCTTTGGAAGATGTGACTTTATTCTCCAATCTTTCTATTGAGTTTTTAATTTCTGCCATCATGTTGTTAATTCTTAAGAACTCTGATTTGGACTCTAATGTCCTTTTAAAAAAACCTTTATTTTTAAATAAATTCACCGGAAGTTTCCAAAATAGTACAAAGTGACCCCATGTATCCTTTACCCAGTTTCCCTCAATGACTATATTTTATGTAAATATAGTACAATATGAAAAGCAGAAATTTGACATTTGTACAGCACATGTGTAGTTTGGAGCTATTTTATCACATGTGTAGATTTAATATAATCAAGATTTGCATGAGTGCTGATTTACAATCAAGATAGAGAACTATTCCATCGCCACAAATCTCTCCCTCAAGCTACTCGCTGCTAGTCACACCCACTTTCCTCCTCACCATCCTAACCCCTGGCAACCATAAAATGGCCTCTTATTTTTGTAATTTTGAAAATGTTACATAAATGGAAATCGTACATTTTGTGACCTTTTAAGACTGACTTTTTTCACTCAAAATAGTTTTATTAAGACACATTCACATTGTTGCCTGTAGCAATAGTTCATTTGTTTTTATTGCTGATTAGTATTCTGGGTATGGATGTATAGCAGTTTGTTTAACCATTAAACTATTGTAGGATATTTTGGTTGTTTTCTGTTTGGGCAACAAACAGAGAGATGAACTTTGGGGTAGAGTTCTTTGTGTGGATGTTAATTTTCATTTCTCTGCCATAGATTCTCAAGAGTGCAGTTGTTGGGTGGTATGGTAAGCTTATATTAGGTGTGTTTCTTTTTAAAATATTTATGTGGCTGTGCAAGTTCTTTGTTGCGGCATGTGGGATGCAGTATCTTTTAGTTTAGGCATTCAAACTCCTAGTTGCAGTATGTGGAATCTAGTTCCCTGACCAAGGATCAAACCCTGCATTGGGAGCACAGAGTCTTAGCCACTGAACCACTGGTAAGTCCCATATATTAACTTTTGTAAGAAACTGCCAAACCAGTTTTCCAGAGTGGGTATAGCATTTTGCATTCCCAGCCCTAGTGTATGAGAAATCCATTGTTTTTACATTCTTGGCAACATTGAGTATTACACGTGTTTTTAAATTTTAGTTGTTTTAATAGGTGTGTAGTGATATCTCCTCATGGTTTTAATTTGCATTTTCCTAACTGATCCTGGGGCTTCCCAGATGGCTGAGTGGTAAAGAATTCACCTGCCAATGCAGGAGATGCAGGTTTGATCCCTGGATGGGGAAGATACCCTGAAGTAAGAATTGGCAACCCTCTCCAGTATTCTTGTCTGGGAAATCCCATGGACAGAGGAGCCTGGCAGACTACAGTCCATAGGGTTGGAAAAAGTTGGACACAACTTAGCGACTAAACAACAACAGTATTTTCACAGAGTTGTGCAGTCATCACAAAAATCAATTTCAGAGCATTTTTGTCACCCCCAAAAGAATTTGTAACCTCTAGCTATCAATCCTTAATCCTCTCCTGTCTGTTTCTTTCTCTCTGGCTTTGCCTGCTCTCTACATTTCATGTAAATTGAATTATGCAAAATGTCTTATGTGACTGGCATCTTTCATAATGTTTTAAAAGTTCATGTATGTTGTATTATGCTTTGATATTTCATTCCTTTTTATTACTGAGTAATATTCCTTTGCATGGATATGCCACATTTTTTTATGCATTCTTTTATTGATGGACATTTTCGTTGTTTCCATTTTAGGGCTATTATGAATGATGCTATATATGTATTCATACAGGCATACTTTGTTTTATTGCGTTTAGCAGATACTTCATTTTCAGAAATTGAAATAATAATTTATATTATTATTTCAATTATTTATATTATTATTTCAATTACAATATAAGTTTAATGATAATATAATATAATGATAATATAATGATAATATAATATAAATATGATAATTTATTTTCAGATACTTCATTTTCAGAAATTGAAATAATAATTTATATTATTATTTCAATTATTTATATTATTATTTCAATGATAATTCTGTATCAAGCAAGTCTTTTGGCATCATTTTCCCAACAGCATTTGCTCACTTCGTGTCTCTGTGTCATATTTTGGTAATTATCACAATTATTTCAAACTGTTTATTAATGTTTGTTATGATGATCTGTGATCTTTGAGTTACTACTACAACTTGCTTAAAGCTCAGATGATGGTTAGCATATTTTAGCAAAAAACTATTTTTTAATTAAGATATATACATTTTTAAGACATAATTCTTTTGTACACTTAATGTTGTTGTTCAGTCGTGTCCAACTCTGCAACCCCATGGACTCTAGCCCTCCAGGCTCCCCTGTCCATGGAATTCTACAGGCAAGAATACTGGAGTGGGTAGTCATTCTCTTTTCCAGGAGATCTTCCCAACCCAGGGACTGAACCCGGTTTTCCTCCATTGCAGACAGATTCTGTACCATCTGAGCCACCAGGGAAGCCTGCAAGTAGAAGCCTAGTTGAGTTGCTGGAGAAAGTAAAGTTAGGGGCTAAATTTCAACATGAGTATGCACCAGTCACTTAATGTCCCTATTTTCAGTAATGATAGCCTTTCCCTGTGTCTGGAAACCACCCCGCCCCAAGTCCAGAAACCCTTTTCAAGAAATAACTCTATGGATAGCTGCTCTGGTGGGGGAAGGGCAGTCACCCAGTGGCACAGAGGGAAAAGGTTTTGTAGATCCAGTAGCTTCTCATTCAGATTTCAACCAATTTCGCTTATTTCAGCCCTTTTACTTCTGGAGGTGCCTGGAGCTGTCAATTCCTGGACCTATTAAGAATTTTTCTTGGCTTTCCCTTCAATTTTCTTGAGTCTATCAAGTAATTTTCACTTGTTGATGGGCTTCCTAGACTTCTGAAAACACATGTTATGATTTCTCCTACACTCTCTCTCTTTTGGAGGCTTTATGTCCTTAA